CTAATCCTTTCCAAATAAATGAAAATTTTGTCACTTGTCATTCTCTTATGCATTATGCCCACGGTTCTAAATAACGTAAGGTGTGATTTCGCGACAATGTCAAACTTTAAGCTTTTCCGAGCCTTGACGAGTCACGATGTTTGTAAGACATGACTAAAGGTGACAATTTTCTATATAATTAATATTTTTATATGTATTTTCAAATGTTATTCATTTTTATACACACATATATGAGTTAATACGGCGTTTTGGCAAAGCTTGGCGGCATGTGCAAGCTTTGGAGCCGTGATTATGCCACATGTCATTTTGTGATAATTTTAGATTAAATAATATCTATACTAGGCGAATGCATTGCGTAAAAACACCTATATAATTGAAGTCTTTACAAATATATGTTTTTTTTAAATATAATAGTAACGTTGTTGTTAAATTTGATATAATAATTTTTTTACTAAATCGATATAATATATTGATTATTTTGTATTATATGATAATATATACATCTATGATAACTTCTTAATCTCAATCGTTTGAATAACTTTTATCTGCGAGTTACACATGGATAAAATTAAACATAATATATAGTTTAATGTTATTTATAGTTGTTGTTATTGTTAATTAATATTTTGAAATTTATTTTCTTAATGTTTTAATTTATATCATTATAATTATTTAAAACATCAAACATTGGTTTTTGATATTAAAGGTAACAATATAATCATTTTTATACAATTATTTTTAACTATTGCTATTGTAAGTTATTTTAATCTATTTTTTTGGAAACTTTTAACGATTATAAAAAATATTTAGGAAATATTTTAGTTAAATTGAGATTATAATTTAGTTTTTGCATTTATCACTATAATTTATCACTTTTACCTATTTACAAAATATTATTTTCTTTTTTTTAAGTGGAAGTGAAATTTATATTTAAGTTGACATTATAATACGTAGAAACACCTATATAGTTGAAGTTTTAACAAATATATCTTATTTTTTAAAATATAACAATAACGTTGTTGTTAAATTTATTATAATAATTTTTATACTAAATTGATATAATATATTTATTATTTTAAATCATATAAACATGTATTACAACTTCATATTCTCAATCGTTTGAATGATTTCTACCCGCGAGTTACACACGAATAAAATTAAATATAATATATGGTTTAATGCTATTTATAGTTGTTGTAGTTGTTAACTATTTTTTTTAAAATTTATTTGATTAATGTTTTAATTTCTATCAATATAGTTATTTAAAACATCAACATTATTTTTTATTTTAAAGGTAACAATATAATTATTTATATAGATTTATTTTTAACTACTGTTATTGTAAGTTATTTTAAGCTACTTATGTAAAAACTTTTAACGATTATAAAAATATATTTATGAAATATTTTAGTTAAATTGAGATTACAATTTAGTTTTTGAATTTATCACTACAATTTATCACTTTTAGTTTTTAAGTGGAACTGAAATTTATATTTAAATTGATATTGTAATGTTATATTTAAGTTCACAATTGAAGTATTTTGTCCAAACTGTTTAAAAGTTCTAGCTTTAAACTGATAATGGTTTACATATAACAATATATTAAATCTAATAAATTAATTATAATATGTTAAAATTTAAAGACATAACTTTATAAGTAGAAATAAAGATATTTTTTTAAAAATTGAAATTTAGTTTATTATGATTACACTTTAGGTTTGATAATTATTTAAAATTAATAATTTAAGTATTTTATATAAATTATTCCAAAACTGTATCTTTAAAATGATAATGGTTTACATCAACAATATATTAAAACTAATAAATTAAGTATAATATGTTATAAGTTAAAAAAACATGACTTTATTAGTAGAAGTAAAGATATTATTTTAATACTGAAATTTAGTTTATATATGATTACACTTTAGGTTTGATAATTATTTAACCTAATTAACAAAATTGTAATTATTATTAGAAAGAAATTGAAAAATCATGAGAGTTTCAAATGAATGTGGTGAAAGGAAAAAGTATATGGGGGTTTCAAATGCATGAAATTCAAGAAAAAATGCTAGATTTATAAGTATGTATGATGTCATTTTGTGGTTTTTTCTATTTTATAAAATTTCATATAATACTTAAATGTAATAAATGCAACTTTATTTGTAATTTCTAAATTTGTAAATTAAATCTAGTTATTTTAGTTGTTTATTTATTTTAATTATTAGTTTAAATTTAAAATATAAACAAATATTTAAATTTTAATAATTAAATAATTTTTTTTCTTATAAATTTGAAATTTATAAATTTTTAGATTTTCATGTTTATTTTTAATAAACCAATGTAAAAAATGGTGCTAACAACTATTACAAAAGTATGGAAGAAAGACGAAAACACACAAAAAAAAAAAAAAATAAAGAAAATTCCCACAACACTAAACAGGCATATAGCGACAACTCACCTTGCCAATAGCCAAGACTCTAAGCCTCCGACACAAAAAAACCAAATTGAGAACTTATAAGGGGGTAGAAATTAAGATTAATGAAGACAATAGCCAAACTATAAAAAGAACATGAGAAACATGCCTTCATAATCAATTTGAATCTCCAAGCAATATCATTAATTAAAATTCTACACAACAACGGGTTAAGTGGATGTGCCACTCTATTTCTTTGTGGGTGAATTTCTTGTACCGGCAAGCAACGAGATTTTATATCGGAGACCAATATATATGGTCTACCATTGGGGTGCAGCAAAGCGACCCTTTGGGCCCTTTTTTTTTGCCCTCTTTTTGCACTTGCCTGTACACAAGATTAGTAAGGAGTCAATGTTGTTGATTTGATGAGTCTTTTTCCATAACTATGTGGCCCGCAAGGTGAGCTCATTTTTCTTCGATCATGTATGAGCATTGTAAATCTTTTCTTAGGTTTAAGGACTTGCCAGCCTGTGCAGATAGAAGAGACAACTTTGTTCTTTGACAAAGGATTGCGCATGTCTATCGAGGATATGGTGGTATGTGGAGGCTCCTTTTTTGGAGACATTCAATGGCGTCTGACTTCCTTACCTATTCGTTTCAGTGGTTTGAGTTCGTACTCGGCATACGAGGTTTCCTCCTACATGTTTGTAGCCTCGAGGGACCAATCTTGAGAATTACAAGACGACATCTTACGTGACAGTGGCATATGTGGTATGAACTCTATTTACCTATGTGCTATGACTCGTCTTCGCGATACGATTCAAGGATTCGACTGTAGCGGTTTCACTAATAAGGACACCGCCCCCCTAAATCCCAAAAAGCATTGGTGTGCGCCCTTTTTAGCAAAATCGTCAAATATATAGAAGTCGACTTCGACATGACTGTTAGACAGAAAGCAGTTTTTGAGTGTCTTCAGGCACCTCAATCTCAAGATTTTCTGCTAACTATCCCCATTGATGACCTTGACCAACATATGTCTCCTGTGGCGTACCAAACTATCATTCGTTACCGTCTCATGATTCCTTTATTCCCAATTGACGAGATATGCCCAGTTTGCCGCAAAGCATGTTTGAATATCTTTGGGGAACATGCGGTTCATTGTAGAGAGCTCTCTGGTTTCAAGTACAGACATGATGTGGTCAGGGATGTTCTCTTTGATGCTTGTCGGCGTGTAGGATGGGAGATCCACACTTACCGACTGACATATTGGTCTTTGGATGGATAGGAGGGAGGCGCACGCATGTGTGGATTTTACTGGTGTCTCCTCTCGTCGGTTTGAGGAGGGTGGGTTTCACAGCAGGGCATGCCGCTTTGAAAGCCGCTGCGTGCAAAGTGGCAAAACATGAGAATGCATATATAGAAAATCAATATTTTTTTGTAGCTTTTGCATTTGACACATTTGGTTTTCTCACACCAGAGGCGGTGGAGCTCCTTAATAGAGTCCAACGGGTTATACACTCTAATATCATATCTCCTAGATCCATAGATATTTTCAAAAAGATTAATTTTGCCATCCAAAAAGAGCTAGCAACGCAACTTGATGGTGGTTGCCGTCTACCGATATGTATTGAGCTATATTAAACAAGTTCATCATTTTAATAAAAAAAAAACAACCAACCATGCCCAACCATGCCCAGAAGAACGACACACCTTGAAGCAACCAAGCTGGGGTAAAAAGGTCCAAATGGCATGAAATTAATCCTCCAAACTGCAACCTTGAACATAATACTCCAACTGAAAAAAGAAAATAACCATCAAGGACCATCACAACAGGCTTTCGGATAAAAAGCACCATGAAAATCGCATATACGCTAATAGCAAGTAGCAAGAACAAAGAAGCCATGAGCATGAAACCAGAATTCCCGATATCCACACAAATGAATTGTTCCTGTCATCTTCATCTAAAGCACGACAAAATGAGCAGGAGGTGGAAGAGGCAATAATACCCCTCTTTATCAAATTTAAGGAAGTGGGGATTCCATTTATTTTCAATTGAAAGGCTCCACCCTTCCATCGTATGAATGCAAAGCAATGATTTTTCTTAGGGATTTGACTGAGAAATCACTACTGCCATCGCCATTCCATAGCCACAAATCACAACCTCCAGTAAACCGAAAATCTTTCGAGCAGTTACATAAAACAGAAAACTGATCTGATCGAGAGGTTAACTATATCTATCACTAAACAATCTTTCTTCCTTTCAATTTCATAGAGATGTGGATAAGCTTCTTTAAGAACTATACCACCACACCATACATCATTCCAAAAAGAAGTCTTGTCCCCTATACTCACCACCCTTTTAAATATACTCGCAATCGAAATCCCCCTTTGATCGAATTCCATGTCAATTTGAGAAATGTTAAGTCAAACACTTTTTACTGCTTTTTTTTTCGCAAATATTTTTCCATCAATAAGTGATAGGTTGTGAATTGCTTTAATGCAAGAAAACCAAAAGGAGTCGTACCCAGATGGCCTTCCGAATCCCTAACCTTTTCATCCGAAATTGATCGGTACTTTTTAATTTCAGGGTTCAAATGTTTATGTGAAGAATATTGATGATGATGTCACAGAAAATGAGCTTCAAGAACACTTCAGTCAGTGTGGCACAATCACATCTGCAAAATTAATGTGTGATGACAAAGGACTTAGCAAAGGATTTGGATTTGTCTGCTTCTCTACACCAGACGAAGCAACCAAGGCTGTGAATACCTTACATGGTGATCAATTACCTAAATTACCATATACTCATTGCTCAATCATCATTGCTTTCTTTTATTTATTGATATTAATTTCTTGTACGATGCTTTATTACAGGATACATGTTCCATCGAAAGCCATTGTATGTAGCTATTGCTCAAAGGAAAGAAGAGAGACAAGCACAATTACAGATTCATTACGCACAAAGAATGGCTGGACTTGTGGGCCCATCTTCTATGATCCCTAGTGGCTATTCTCCATATTACTATACAGCTCCTTCTGGTATCATTTCACAAGTAGCTCCACAACCAGGGATCATGTATCAACCTATGGCAATCAGACCAGGATTTAGGGCTAATGCTTTTGCACCTCCAACAAGACCCACTTTTCAGCCATCTCCATACCCTACTTTTGTAAGTTCTCTAGGGTTTCTTTCACATGGTGATGATCACTAAGCGTATTCCTCAACGATAAGGAACAATAGTAAAATGCATAATCTTTCGATGCATTTAATTTTTTTTTTTTTCAGATTTCTAACAGTGTAAGACCGCATAGACAAAATAGAGGGAGGATGAACGGACATATGCAGCAGCAGCCGCCACCGCCGCCACAGGGTGGTCATACTCTTCCATATGTGCCACACTTGCAACAGCCTAATCCTAATCATCAGACTTCAAAGGAATCACCTAGCAATCAAAAGGTGTTCATCTACTTCATTTGCTACTTTATAATAATAGTGATAATTAATTAATGATTTAGTTTTTCTTCAACAAATTGTGGTAATTAATTATCAAATTATATATGCATGCAGCGAACAGGACAGGCGAAGTATGCACCAAACGGACGAAGTGCACGTGACATGAACAAAGGAATAACGATATCTTCTTCTTCACCTTCAAATTCCGGCGAAGGAGCAGAGATGTTGAGCAGTATGCTTGCCGCTGCTTCCCCGGAGATTCAAAAACAGATGCTAGGGGAACGTCTCTACCCCCTCGTCAACCAACACAAGGTATACATAATTACATATATAAGAATCTCTGGTAAACATTTGACTTGTAATATATATAAATCTGGATATGGTTAACTCAATTTTTTTTGTTGTTGTTGGTGGTTAAAATATGTATTACAGCCGGATCTTGCTGCAAAGATCACCGGAATGCTGTTGGAAATGGACAATTCCGAACTGCTTCTGCTTTCGGAGTCGCCGGAATCTTTGGCTGCTAAGGTGGAGGAAGCTGTGCAGGTGTTGAAGCTTACAAAGACCCAAGTGTCTACCACCACTGCCAGTCAAGAGACTATTAGTCATCCCAGTATCTTATCTGCTGGGGTTGCAGTCAACTGAGAGAGAAAAATCACTTATATCTATATTAATTTAATTAGTTTTTCTGAAACTATAAACTTTTGATTGGCATCAAACTACCGTAGATTTGGATGATTATTGCACCTTCTTTTGGAATTGCATTTTTATATTTTGTTTATATATAAAACTTTTAATGAGATATATCGTTTAATGGTACTGTTTTTTTTTAGTATTAATAGGGTACATGATGTCATAATAGTACCAAAGAGCATTGGAACTCATATTATGAATGACGTTTGACATATCCTTTGACCTCCAAGGAATAGCTGTTAATTAGGTGGCTAATATTGGCTACAAACCATAAATGAGACAGTACCTCAGTCGGTAGAGGAAGAGGTCATTATCCTAGCATATTGGCTACAAATAAACCACTAAAACCATTTCACAAGGTAAGCTACATCTCGCCATTGACTAGATATAATTTACAATAAGTTATCCTAAAATAATCTTTGACTTTATCGGAGCCTTGGTCCAGGAACACCTCCGGTCATCAACTTACGATTTGTTTGTGTCTCTAGGTATGCTTACTTCAAAGGAGTCACTCTCGTCCATGGAGGACGGATCCGTAGGCACATCAAGTATACATACTCATGCAATGACATAATGTTGATAAATGCGAGTTTTAAGAATTAGAGATGTCTCAAGATAACGTATTGTGAAAAATTATAAGTAGTGTATGTATGTATGTATATATATTTGCACAAGGTATTTGGACAAATTACCAAATGCAAAGGAGTTACGTACTACGCAAGACCATGGTATAACTTAACCGTAAAGAGACTAAGTGTGCGAAGCAACAATGAAGATGCATAGGGTATGGGTGACTTGTTCACGGGATATGATGGCTAAGACTATTGGGTATGTATTTGAACGTTATGTTTCGATGCCACCTTATGATGGACACCACCCTAAACAAGAGTAAGAACCTTATGATTATGATGTGAAGTATATATAAATTAAATGGTTAAGAATTTAGAGCATATATATTGTATAGATATCTTAATTAATGTTTAATGTATACGAAACTATTTGCTAGTAAAAACAAGAGAAGAAAAAGAGTCTATGCACTTATGCGGAGAGAGAGAGAGAGAGAGAGAGAGAGAGAGAGAGAGAGAGAGAGAGAGAGAGAGAGAGATCATATGTCCTTAAGACTTCTCTCCAATCATCCAAATAAATCTCCAAGTGTTGTAGAAGGATTAACCAAACAATTCCATAGAAACTCTAGAGAGAAAAAGAATGAAGGTCTTGAAAGCTCGAGTTTGAAGCTTTTAAAAAGGATTTGATCTTCATAACGTATGATTAAGTTTAAAATCATCCCTTGTTAAATTCTTATTGGTTTGGATACAAGAATCAAGCTTATACCGAAACTATACTTGATTTCAGTATTAAGATCGTAAAATATTCAAAAATCTTCAAAGTCAACCCTGGTCAAGGTCAAAGTCCTGATCTTCTACTCATAGCTACATGGGCCCTATAATTCCTATAATACCTAGGTCTTCTACTTATAGCTACATGGGCTGGCATTGTAGCCTTAGACCCATTCACACAAAGAGAAACTCACATGCACTGGCTGAACCTGCTGATGATTTCATTAGCTGCTGCCCGACAACTCACGGAACTCCTACTCCCCTTGCTCCCCGAACTACCAATATCAATGCCATACTGAGTCTAACTGACCCCCGAAAGACAACCAAGTCAACCCTGGTCAAGGTCAAAGTCCTGGTCAAAGTCAACCTTCCAGGTCAACCTTACTCGCCGAGACACCCTACTGACTCGCCGAGTTCAAAATGATCAGATTCCTTCCATTCGCAACTTGACTCGCCGAGTCTGCCAATTTCTGAGTCCTAACCTGTCCAACTCACTGAGTCTCCACCCGAGTCACTGATTCGAGTCTCAACTCGAAGGGTTTGGGGTTTCGCGACCTGACTCGCCGAGTCCAAGAATAGACTCACCGAGTACAAGGCAATCTTCATATGACTCAACGAGTTGTTCATCCCACTCGTCGAGTTTCTCCACAACTTCATGATACTCGCCGAGTCCACTCAAAGGACTCACCAAGTCCCTTCAGTTCTCCTTACATGCATAGGACTTTTGAGTCATGCATGGACTCCAAACTGTAGATCTACCCTTCCCAAGCCTATTCCTCACGTAAAGTTGCAAACTTTACGTGTAGAGAAGGAGATCTAGGCAAAATGTGCCATAAACTAGGGTTTAAGGCCAAGGGGCTTCAAAATCAACTCAAGGGATGATACTTTACGGGGTTTTAGATCAAAATAAGCATGGATCTAAGGTAACAACCTCAGATCTGAACCCCTAGCTCGAAAGGTTACTCTTGTGCCATGAATGCCCAAATACACACATAGATCTAGGTGCAAAGAAGGGAAAATAGTAGCTTGTTACCTCCAAGATGAACACCACTGAAGTAGATCTCGGATCTACACCTTCTCCTTTGAAGCAACCTTCTTGATCTTCAAGTTCCTTTCCCAAAGTTCCTTCCTCCAAGCTATATCTCTCAAATGATGGAAGCTCACACGAAATCAAGGGTGCACTGGTTCTCTAGGGTGATATGGGGGCTGAGGAAGGGACATAACACCCTTTAAATAGGGTACAACTCCCGGGATTAGGGTTTTCCTTGTTCAGACCAGACTCGCCGAGTCACCTTGGCCGACTCGCCGAGTCGGTCGCTTACTCCTCGACCCGGATCCCGCTCGGACTTGCCGAGTCCCTCCTTGGACTCGCCGAGTCTACCCTTAAAATTAGGGCTTTTCTTTCCTTTCTTAGCCTTCAAAAACTTTGGGTGTTACAACTCTCCCCCACTTAAACTAAACTTCTTCCTCGAAGTTTACTATACTCCACTGCCTGCGATCTGCCTCCAATACCCCACCATTCATTCTAACACCAGCTGCCTAACTTTGCTGGCCTTCCGCTCAGTCATTCAGACTAACGTAAATCCTTACCGATAATAATCTCGGGTGCATCCTGACCCTGAACATCCTGGAAACACAACTTACTCAATTGACAATCTTTCTGGTATTCTCCGAGTATTGAAACATAGGGGTTCACCCCTTCTTTCCTTGCGCGATTTCCTTACCTTCCCAAGGCAACACTCCATAACCATTTATCTCCTCTGCCACTGAGTCATCATTGCCAGTATCCACTTGGCACTCTTTCTACTATCATTCGGTGTCGAGCACCCCACGATCGACTAACTGAATTCCACCATACTCTGCATACCCGCACTGCTACTGACTAGAAATCCTGCTATTCCTTATTTGGCTTCCAGATGAACTGAGACCATCCTGGTCCCTACCAACCTATCAATATCTGGATTAACGACTCTCACCGATTGCTGACCCAGCACAACCACTAGTCGCTCCCAGCGACATTCGAAGAAACTCCCACCACCTATACCGCTCAATCTATTCTACCAGGCTGGCACTACAATATATTGGGATCCCCGATCCCCTATCTAGACACTAAGATCCTTACCAGGTCCCACCTGTGCTGCTAAAACTTACGGGCCTCGCCCACGGGTCTCACCCAACCATACCACTGAGCAACCTTGCTCTCAGGTCTCACCTATACTGCTATTCTCATACGGGCCTCGCCCACGGGTCTCACCCGACTATATCCTAGAGCGGCCTCTCCCAAGGTCTCACCTCTCAAGGGCTATACAGGCAACTCCTTACCATTCTCATCCATTACCCATTCCCGATCCTTATCTAAATGCTAGGAGATAAGGACCTCGCCCCGTCTTCGCCAACGAAGCTACTATGGAATGCTACGGCTTACTCGCAGTCTCACATCACCTTCTATCGCCGTCTGCTGGTGAATGCTACGGCTGCCCCGTAGTCTGACAACACTTTCCACTACTGACTGCTGCTGAAGAAAGCTGAGACTCTCCCGCCACTCATCCATGCTCTACATGCTGCTTCTGCTACTGACTATTAACACGAAAATACCCCATGCTATCAGATCTCAAGATCTTCATTCCGACTCACACGGGTCCTACAGGCGACCCTTCAATCTGAATCCGAACCACAAACTCACCATTACCATTTACACGCATGGACTGATGGGGAGTTTCTCAAACTCCCAACCCTGAACTACTCAATCCCTCAAACGCTGAACTACCTCTTTTCCTTCTCAGAAGTCACATACTCGTTCTGGATTTGCGTGCTCTTACCCTTATTCATTCGAAGGATTCTCCCCCACTTCGATCCTGCTCACACCTAGCTGCTCAATGAATAGAATTCCAAATCCTTGCTACCATTCCATAATTAATCTGCTGAGGAATCCCATGCTTACCGTAACTAGGGATCTAACCAGTCCATTTCGAAAACTTATACGACTCCGAACTAGCGAGACATACCGAGTCCTTCCAAGGCATGCTACAAATACTGCACCCTAAGTAACCTTCTTCGATAAAACCCATACCTTAACTACTAACCAAATATCCAAGGTATGCAAATGACATATAACTCGATCACAATCAAACCGCTCCATGAAATGCTCATACAGATAATGATGCAGAACCATAACAATATAACATCATGCATAAACAGAAGAACTGAAAACGGAAATCGTATACCTGCAATGTCCGGCGCTGCTCGCATCTCCAAGGTAGCCATCTGAAAAGCCCTGCCTCCTACCGCAGGCGCCTCCGCACGGCCCTGACGGCCTTCTGTGATCCTCAAGGTTGCAGGGGCAGGTGCCATCACCCGTCCTGCTGAAAACAAACTGGGGCACTGGGCCTTCTTGTGGCCCCTCTGATTGCAGTGAAAACATATCAAGTATGATCCCTGAGTGATGGTAAGAGTACAATCTCTGCTAAAATGACCAGTCCGACTGCACCTGAAGCAACCAGACTCACCACCACTACCACTCTTGCACACGCCCCCGTGCGTCCTACCACACTTTCCACATCGACTGCGGTCCTGATGATCCCTCGATCTTGAATCCGATCCCTTGGGCCTTTTTCC